GTGAAACTGAATTGTTAACTTCAATAACAAACATACCATCTAGTTGCGATACTCGTATAATTCAAACAGAATATGAAATTTGGCATAAATTAAACAAACCAAATTCTTGGATATATGTTTTACCCAAACCAACAGATTTAACTTTAAGCTGTCAGACTAGTACGCCAATATCTATTGTTCTTTCAAACACAGGTATTTTTTCTACTTCGAATAATTGCAAAACTTACACCGGATCAACTATTTTGATATCTGTCTCAAATCCAAAAGAAAAGTAATTTTCAGTCTATCATTCCAGATTTATCCCTTCCAGAAGTCTGTTGTGATGATATTAAGATAAATAATGAATCCAAACTACACCTTGTTCCCTTACAATTAAATAATCTCGATCGAGATGCATTAAATTTAGCAAGCCATAAACTAGATAATTTAGAGAAAATGACCTCAGAAACAAATATTAATTTTTCAGACACAATAAAAAATAGTTCTTATTTCACTTATGCAATCTTATTTTTGATAAAATGTATGTTACTTTATATTTTATACAGGATAATTAAATATTTTTACCGACGATTTCGTAGAAATCCGTCACATAGTTGTCAACAAATTACAAATTGTTTAACACTAAATATATGTCAAAGTAAACGAAAACATGTACATGAGACAGATTTAAGTATAGATTGTAAACATAATAAAGACAATAATTATAGTGAATCCAAAAAGTGTGAAGAGACTAGTTTCACAGAGACTACACCGATAAGACGAAGTGAAAGACTATCGAGACTAAAAGAAACTATTTAAATGTGTTAAAATAAAATAATAATGTATACAAATGTTTTATACCATTTAAATGAAAATTCATTTTACAATTATTTTCATTCTTACAAAAGGAGGTGTAATGTACCTACCTACTCACATGTAAGATAATTAAAGTATCTATGTATTTCTATATAGTTTTTAGTCACCTGGTATATGTTATTTACAATTATGAAAAGTTCTCATGTATAATCACTAATAATTATTTGCTGTTAGAAATCAGAATCAATACTCTTCATAAATATTTTCCTATTTAGAATAAATAAGTTTCGCTAGTTTATTCGCCTAATACTTCGTATCTATGGAATAATAATAATTTATTTCTCTTATTTCTTTGTTCGATAAGCTATCCGTATTTGCTATTTTAATATTAATATTTGAGTCCAATCTCTTGTACTCAAATCCATCCAGAAACATCGTTAAATAATTGTAGATAACAGAACTTATAAATTCATAGTTTTAAGAAATAACAGGCAGTGTAATTTTCATCCTCTAATATAATAAATTTATACATGTCAATATATTCTGTTTAATTCCAAAACAAAGAGTTAGTCCGGAGAAGAAATAAACGCATAGTATTCCATAACACAACAATAAAACTAAAAACATTAGACGACGCAAAAATCAAGCATATCCAGACCGTAGCAGAGAATATTGAACTACCAGAATTAAAAGAAGCCCGACGTATCACAATTGGACCAACACATCTCTCATCATCCTTATTACACTAATAATCTCTGTTTTAGCTTATTTCAAAGTATTCAAATCCAAACTCAACTCCATCACAAGAAGTCGACCAAGAGAGGCACATGGCTCAGAAAATCCAACTCCCTTGTTTTCCGAGCTTAAGGAGGGAGGAATTATATAGACATAAAGAGATATCTACACATCATAGTCCAAGTCATTAGTGCGTTATATATAGTGCAGCCACGGCTGTGAACATTCATTCCTGATTTATTATTGTTATTGTATACTTGTTTTGATTCGTTATTTAACCATTGTATTTAGTTAATTTTAAATAAATTGTTTTTAAAAACGCGAGTCTGAAAACGAGTTATTTAATTATGTCCCGAAATCGAAAATTATTATTATTGTTTAAAGAAGACTTTGCAAGAAAATTCTCAACCATGTTTAAGTAAACTTATACAAACTGGTAAAAATGAATGTAAAAGTACAAATATACATTTAAAGAAAACCACAATATCAACTATTAATTCCAATCAACTAGTAGTCATTCCTGTTAATTCAGCAACTATAGAAACCAATTGTGATAAAAATGGAATATATAAAATAAGCAAACCATCAGTCATCACTATCGGAAAATGCCAAATAACAATCAACAATCAAATATATGAAAAAGAAGAAACAATACACGAAGAATATATATTCGATTTACCAAGATTTGAATATAAAGAAAATATAACAAATCTACCCATATTAAAATTGAAAACATTGGATAGCAGCGAAATTAAGAAAATACAGAAAATAGCAGAAAATATAGAAATGCCTAAACTAAAAGAAATCCCAACATATCACAACTGGACCAACTCAAGTTTAATTATTATAATTGTACTAATAATTCTTATTTTAGCAATCTTTAAGGTGTTCAATAATAAAATCAAAGAATATTATACCAAAAGGAAAACCCAGAAGACAAAAAATGGCTCAGAAAAAGCAAGTCCCTTGTTTTCAGAGCTTAAGGAGGGAGGAATTATATAAACATAAACAAGATAATTCCATTGGAATCCGCCGACCACAGTCCATCCGATGAGAGGGTATAAATAGGCCTGCACTTGTTTACAACGAAGATTCATTAATTAGTAGTTCAGTTAATTATATTAAGAGCGTATATTTATATTTCGGCAAATAAGTATTTTGTATTATATTTTGAGAATAAAAGTTTTTAAAAACAAAGTGTCTACAAAAATAAACTTAATTACCTGCGTCGGGCCCATACTGACTTGTGCTACTGAGGCAAGAATCAAAACAGCAACAAAAAGGATAATAAGAACAAGAGAAATGAAAATTTTGAAATGAAAAAGAAGATGAAACGAAGGAAAAAACTAAAAAATTACTGAGAGAATAGCGCAGATTTGAAAAGCCCCACATATAACATCCTAAACAAGGAAGTAAGGATAACCGTAAATGTACTGAGGACTTACCTATCAGAAAACGGCGACTGTGAGAAAATTCGAAGAAAAAATCTGACTGGACATAGAGCGATGTACAAATGACGTAAACTTGTAGAAGTTTAGAGAACGGACCACGAAGACGGACGCTATGAAACTGTTTTATATATTTTTGAAAGACTATAAATCTCAATATTTTTATTTATATTATGATCTCAATGTTTTAAATTCGGTAATCTTCTTTTAACCATTGAAAAAGAAGGAGCAGATTCCAATACCAATACCGAATTCCATTTGATTTGAGTGTTACAATACTGTCTCCTAAATCACACGAGACATACCTACACTTTTGCACACTGTCAAACACGTACTTCCTAGAACATTAATAACTATCATATTTAACTGAAAATAATCATTTTATGCGAGGGTAAAAATGTGTCTCCAAATTGTCGTCATATTACTTTACTGCATATATCGAACAAACCTTCAGTCATAAACTACAAAAAATAAACATCAAAAAGTATGTTTAAATCAAAACCTCTTAAAAATTCCAAACCATTGACAGAAATAAGTTTTTTATTTTAGGGTCAAATAAGTACCTGCGTCTATTCTGAGCTTTGAGAGATTTCGAACCTTTTTAAATTTATGACCACTTAAACAAAAAATACGAGTATAATGTGACAAGCAGCATTATATTCGCCTTCAATCAGTCAAAAACGATGTTGTTATTCAAAGAGATCATATTTCTTTTAATGTATCTGAAAAAGAAAACTAATTGGTTGGCCCAAAAATCACCTACCATATATACAGGGTGTTCCAAGAAGTTTTCTATACATAGTGGAAAGCTGATCTTGAATGTAGAAAATATTTATAACATACATGACTGTCTAATGTCTAACAGTTACAATGTCTAACAATTTACAAGTAAATACACACTAAAATGTAATTTCCGAAATATCTGTATTTTCTAATACTCCCATTTTAGTAAAAATATAATAGAATAAAGTTTACAATGCATGCAAAAAAATTAATGGTGGTTAAGCTGAAGGTAGTCACATAATTTATTAACGTTTAGTAGGTCTTGTTGACTGATGTTGACTATTGGACATGATATTGTTGATATGGATCTTGTTTATTTCATCTTTGAAGATCTGATTAGAGGAGAAGTTGAATTAATTTCCAAGGTTCTTAAGCCAAGACATTCGTTAATCTGTTCAATAACACTACTTTTTTCATGATTTTTCTCTGCATAAAACTTGCAGCAGTTGGTATTGTGGTCTTCGCATTACGCATCCGCGATGTTTATGGCGTTTTCCACTAAACGGACAGTTGAGTTTCTGTTTTTTCCTAGAACTCGAAAAATAAAACAAACTCAAAACTCTTGTTTCTATCAAGCGGACTACATTTTGTTTGAGTTATGTTTCTTGTTCGGTCCTTTTCTACTGGCTGTCACGAGAAAGTCCAGTTTTTTCTTAAATCCTTTTACCCTAAGGTGTCGGGTGGAATGCTTGGTTTCTTGCTTGTTCTTGTATCTAGGATTGAAGTTACATTATCGTCCCATGTCTTCATTGACCTGCCTCTTGGTATCTTAATTTGTCTTCTCGCTTCCCATACTTATTTAACTGGTCTTTCTTGATTCATTCTAATCATGTGTCTATACCATCTTATTTGGACCTCTTCAATTTTCTTAATTATTGGTTGGACCTTAAGATGTTCTATAACTGAGTAATTTCTAATCCTGTCCAATCTGGTTATGCCCATTATTTTTCTAAGAAACTTCACCTCTATGCTCTGTATTTTCGATCTTAATTTATCAGTAAGTGTCTAACTACCAAATGTTAGAACCGGCGCAAACACCGTCTTCTATTTGGCCACTTTTAATTATTGCAGTTGCGTCAATGTTTTTTTGGAACGGCGATGTAGTAAATAAACTTCTTAACTTTGTGTGCGACTGTGCGAGGCAACTGATAACAACAAATTAAGCGAAATCTTACCTATTTAGAAATTATAAAATAATTTGCGCTGCATATATCATTATCTACCTCTTTTCCAACATACCTTTCGTCTAAGCTCTGAAGAAAACAAGGTTGGAATTAACAATAAATTAAAAATAGCTGCTAGATATATCACCAAGAACAGAAATTCAACTGTATTAGGCTCGACCTAAAAGAACTCATTATCATTATTTTTAAATAACTTCAAATCATGGTATCTTACCAAGGTTATTAAGAATAGGGTCATACATAATCCCGTTGTTGTTGCAAAGAACTGAAAAAAGTATATTCTACTAAAGATTTGTTCTGATTTTTGAGCTAACCTAAAAATTTAAGGATAATAAAGTATTTTAAAATTTATTTAAATATTATTTATTGTGCTATTAATAGTGTTTGTTGTTAACAAATAGATTTAGTGCAAAATATAATTAACAAATATACCAAAATATGCTTTTATGCCAAAATTTTGCTACTATTAACGTTTTAACCCTACCCAGGATACTGGAGTACCACAAGCAACAGTAATTTTATTATGATTCTTGGAATTTTAAAGATTTGGCACGGTCCTCCAGCTACCTTTCTAAAATGGTATTAGGTTCGGCACAGTGTATGGTACGTTTCCTTTAGTTGTTCCCGATACGCTAGGCTATATGACGTGTTGGGGTATAGTAGTACTCCTGGTTAGGGAAAATGTAACAAATCGTGATTATTATTTAGACGTTTGAGTAAGTGTTTCCGGTAAGTTATATTATTTCATAATCCTAGTTATATGTTGATAAAAATTGTACGTTTTACATACTTACTTGGACGTATGTTGCATTATTATAAAATAAAATTATAGATCTCCAGAGCCCAGTACTACTAAGAGTCAAAACAGAAGTAGCAATGAAAGTATTTTAAACAAACATGAGTTGGAAAACATAATGAAGAAATTTGTCGAAGAAAGTGACCAAGATCCAGAAGATAATTCAGAAAGTTAAGAAGATGAAGTAATAAAACCTTGTTATGGAATACTATGCGTTTATTTCTTCTCCGGACTAACTCTTTGTTTTGGAATTAAACAGAATATATTGACATGTATAAATTTATTATATTAGAGGATGAAAATTACACTGCCTGTTATTTCTTAAAACTATGAATTTATAAGTTCTGTTATCTACAATTATTTAACGATGTTTCTGGATGGATTTGAGTACAAGAGATTGGACTCAAATATTAATATTAAAATAGCAAATACGGATAGCTTATCGAACAAAGAAATAAGAGAAATAAATTATTATTATTCCATAGATACGAAGTATTAGGCGAATAAACTAGCGAAACTTATTTATTCTAAATAGGAAAATATTTATGAAGAGTATTGATTCTGATTTCTAACAGCAAATAATTATTAGTGATTATACATGAGAACTTTTCATAATTGTAAATAACATATACCAGGTGACTAAAAACTATATAGAAATACATAGATACTTTAATTATCTTACATGTGAGTAGGTAGGTACATTACACCTCCTTTTGTAAGAATGAAAATAATTGTAAAATGAATTTTCATTTAAATGGTATAAAACATTTGTATACATTATTATTTTATTTTAACACATTTAAATAGTTTCTTTTAGTCTCGATAGTCTTTCACTTCGTCTTATCGGTGTAGTCTCTGTGAAACTAGTCTCTTCACACTTTTTGGATTCACTATAATTATTGTCTTTATTATGTTTACAATCTATACTTAAATCTGTCTCATGTACATGTTTTCGTTTACTTTGACATATATTTAGTGTTAAACAATTTGTAATTTGTTGACAACTATGTGACGGATTTCTACGAAATCGTCGGTAAAAATATTTAATTATCCTGTATAAAATATAAAGTAACATACATTTTATCAAAAATAAGATTGCATAAGTGAAATAAGAACTATTTTTTATTGTGTCTGAAAAATTAATATTTGTTTCTGAGGTCATTTTCTCTAAATTATCTAGTTTATGGCTTGCTAAATTTAATGCATCTCGATCGAGATTATTTAATTGTAAGGGAACAAGGTGTAATTTGGATTCATTATTTATCTTAATATCATCACAACAGACTTCTGGAAGGGATAAATCTGGAATGATAGATTGAAAATTACTTTCTTTTGGATTTGAGACAGATATCAAAATAGTTGATCCGGTGTAAGTTTTGCAATTATTTGAAGTAGAAAAAATACCTGTGTTTGAAAGAACAATAGATATTGGCGTACTAGTCTGACAGCTTAAAGTTAAATCTGTTGGTTTGGGTAAAACATATATCCAAGAATTTGGTTTGTTTAATTTATGCCAAATTTCATATTCTGTTTGAATTATACGAGTATCGCAACTAGATGGTATGTTTGTTATTGAAGTTAACAATTCAGTTTCACAAATTGGATTAGTGTGTGTAAATCGGAAAGTATCAGGATTTTTGCAAATAAGTTTTTCTTCATCTAATGAATAACAGTCTTCTAATGTATCAATAGTAACATAAATGTTTCTATTTTCTGAAAGAACAAGATATTTGACAGATGGAAGAATAAAGGTAAGTCTCTTTAATGTTGGATGAATTATAGGAAGAGATATTAGTTTAAAAAGAGAATAAGGAGTATTACTAACCAAAGGTATACTAACCGTAATTAAAATCTTGTTATCAAAATATATATATTTAAGTAAAATGATATCGAAATATTTATGAGCATAATCGATAGTCAATGGAAATGGATAAGTCGATGTACTAGGTAAATGCGTTACCGTTTTAGATAATTCTTGAATTAGTTGCTCAGGTGTTATAACAGAAGGATGAAGGTTATTATTTCTTGCAAATAGAATAACGTTTATTAAAGTAGAATATTCTTGTTGTAATTCTGTTATAAAGAAAGTTAGTAAAGTAAAATGTTCTTCAATTTTTTGTTTTAAATCTAAATTAAAATATTTATTATTCATTTTATCTGTGTAATTGGTAATTGATTCAAAATTTTTATCAAAAATCACTTTGTTTCGGTCTAGATTTGTAATAGAGTTATTAAAATTTGCAATCGTGGCTTTTACTACATGAATTTGTTGTTTTAGTAAATCAAGAAGATGATTTTCGTTACTTTCAGCTTTGTTAATAGCATTATTGAAATTTTCAGCATCATCACTGTCTAAGGTACCGAATAAGGTCCTGAAAACAGATCCAATTGCATTAAATAGAGCGCGTTTTGGTCTAAAATGTTCATGCAGAATTATGTTTTTTAAAGTTTGTTCATCTTGAAAGAGTCTAGGTATGATTTGTCCTAAGAGTTTTAGTGAAGTATCACATAATCGTAATTCAATAAGAACTGGTTTGTTTTGACACAGTCTTAATGTTTTTTGATAGGTGAGATCTACAAAATTTAATTTGTCTGTAAAAGGTTGTAAAGGAATATGACTTAATATGTTCCAATGAGTTTCAATAAATTGAACATTTTTTATGTGTTCGTAATAGATTCCAGGTGATTTGTTGATAGGAGTATTGGTATATTTCTTGTGAATTTGTTCACTATTTGTCAGCCATATTATTGCATACCTGAAACAAAAGCATGTTTCAATCTATTCATGTGAACTTTTATTGGTTTTTTATTTACTAAAATTGTGCAATTGACAGGAGAATTTATCTCTAGAATTTTATAAGGTCCATTATAATTTTGTGTAAGTTTTTTGGTTTGACCCTTCTTTGTTTGCTCATTTTGGAGATATACTAATTGTCCTTCTAAGAAAACGGTGTCATTAATCTTTTGGTCATAATATTTTTTACTGACTACTTTAGATTCTAATAGATTCGTTTTTGCTAACTCATGAGATTTTCTAAGCTTAAGTGTTAAATTATCTAAATAATCTTCATATGTATATTTGAGTTCTACTGGTCGTATTATACTGCTAGGTAGATTAGGTGTATATCCAAATATTAGTTCATATGGTGTGAATTTGGTTGAAGTATGATTAGTTGTATTATATGAAAACATAGCAAAATCTAGCCATTCGTCCCAATCGGATTGATCAGCTTTAATATAATGTTTAAGGTAGTCTGCTAAAGTAGCGTGACTCCTTTCTAATGCAGCATTTGATTCTGGATGATAAGCAGTACAATTTATATGTCTGATTTTAAAAAGCTTGGCGATTTGAGAAAATAATTTGGAAGTAAAATCTCGGCCTTGATCAGTAACTATTATATCGGGTTTTCCAAACTTGCAAATAAATCCACGAACCAGATTTTCAGCGATAGTCTTGGTTTCATGATTCGGAATTGCGTAAGCTTGAGAAAATTTTGTTAAGTCATCTTGTAATGTTAATATGAACTTATTACCTGACTCGGTTAAAGGTAAAGGACCTACTATATCTAAAAATATTTTTTCTAATGGATTTGAGCTTGTTGTTGTTATCTCCATGGGCTTTACGAATTTTTTTCTAACGAGTTTATTTTTCTGACAAGATTCACAGGTTTTTATAAAGTTTTTAATATCATTTTTCATATTATTCCATTTGAAATGTTTTTTTATACGATTGTATGTCCGATGAAAACCAGAGTGTCCAGCCGTAGGACTAGTGTGATTCTCTTGTAATATTGTAGTTATTTCCTCAGGTTCAGGATTTGTTAGTATATCATGATAAATGATAATAGATATATCAGTTTTTCTAAAAATAAATCTAATCATAGATCTAATTTTTCCCCAACTTAATTTATCGTAGCTAAAAGTTATTCTGGGTAGGCAAATTTTTAATATTTTATCGTTTAATAACCAGTCTCTTAATTTTATTAGGGAATTAAATATATCTTCATAAGAGGTATTGTCCCAATAATTATTTTTTATAAATATGTAATAAAAGTTTTTATTTTGATCAGAAATATATATAATGTCATTTAGTCTTGGATTTTTGGCTTTCAATTTTTCTATATGACTGAATTGTTTATTTATTTGTTTCTGAACGATCTCATTAAAATTTAAATCTACGGAAACAAACAATGCTAAATTTTGTGAAAATGATGTAATCTTTTCATTTGTTTCTTTTATATTATCATTTGTTATTAATATAGTTTCGGATTTAGATAAGAACTGTGAATAAGTGTCATTATTTTCTTTACTCATTTTGTTTATTTGTAAGGTGATTGTTGCCGGGTTTTTGTTTTCTTCGCAAATATTTGTTTCAGATATGGTTAAAGGAGGACGACTTAAACAATCAGCATTTTGATTTAATTTACCTGGTTTATAAATAATTTCATAGCTATATTCTTCTAATGCTAATCTCCACCTAACGAGTCTTGATCCGGGATCTTTTACATTAAATAGCCA